GAATAATTACTGTACAATATTGACCTAAACGACGAGGACTTACCATGATGAACGTTGACTTCGACGGAACAAAATGATTCCCACGAGCAAATGTGATGATCATACCGTCGACGAAGGACGACGGTGATTCATCCAGCGCTAATAAGTCAGCGCGTGATCCCGGATCGCCGGATCGTCAGATGAATCACCTACGTCCTTCGTCGACGGCATGATCCTCGCGTTTGCTCGTGAGAAAGAATTCTCTCTTTGCTCTGCACTAATTTGACTCGTTTTTTCAATGCTCAGCCTCAGTGGCGCTTCAGAGCTACATCTGCTGAGCAGATTTTACGGATTCAGGACGAATTTAATGGGGATTCAATGCAGTGAGTGGATCCCATACTTATAGATGATCTTACTGACAGCGTCTGTTTCACTAGAGTCTATACCTGCCGGGTTCAAAGGTTCATTATTGATGCTCAATCCGTTCTGTTCACCACCTTTAGAAAAAACATGAACATATTCAAGGCTATCGCGAGACGTCAACAAGGACTTGCTTTCAACTGGAATATCGGGCGGTCTGTCATCTCTATTGACGGATTTTCCATCGTGGTATCTTCCTTCATAGACGGCGTTTATCGTAACTTCAAAGACGTCGATGCAGCCACTAACAACTCTTCCGTGGCTGCTCTCATCCCGACATTCTTCTGCACATTGACAACGCAATGGTACTTTATCAGACCGGTCAACCGAACTGGTTCAGAGATCGACCTGGGAAGAGCGACGTTCAATGTTTGTTTATTTTTTGAAGAGGCTGAGAACGGGTTCAAAGATTTTCAGCCCCCGTCCTTCGGATCGTCTATCTCGAGACCCAAAATTCCTTACCATTGTTGGGGAACATGCCGTTCCCAAGATCGGTTAGTATCTTCATGAACCCTGAACCCGAGTTTGCTCAGAAGTTTGATAGGTGCCATTCTTGGGTGGTTCAGTGAGCTACATGAAATCGTTTGGATAATACGTCCTTCGTCGACGGTATGATCTCGCGTTTGCTCGTGGGAAAGAATTCTCTTTGCTCTGCATCCTTCGAGGACGGTCTGCCTACGTGAGACGGGGCTCTTTTTGTCTCGTCCTTTCAATGGGTATTAACTTCCTCAGCTACATTGGACCGAGTACATCGCCGAAGCGATGGAAAGATTTCCTGTTCGTGCGTTCCGTCGAAGCAAAGGCCTTCATCATGCTGACTCCTCGTCGTTCGGGTTGATATATTCATATCAACAGTGTACAGTAATTATTCAGTTATGAGAAGACTATAATCGCGTGCAAGGTACGGCTCAACAAAGAAATACCACTTCCTGGACACGAAATGTCTGAATAGGCTGACCAACCGTTCAACCCTCTTCCCCTCCCATTTTGACTACTCCATCCAGAACACAAAGAATCTTTGACCTGTTACACTTCAACTGGGCAAAACGCGCTGTCACAGGCACCGAATCTATCTCAATATGAACTAAACGACTCAGTCATGGTCGGTCTGGGGAGCTTGCAGAAAACCTTTGAGGAAAGGAGGCCCGTACTGGTGTTGCACCTGAGGTCTATGAAGATGTTGATGGCCTTCAACCTCTTCCCTTCCTCCTCAACAAGCTCATTATTCTACGGCTCGGTTCAACACTCTCGTTGAATTAGTCTATCCTCTTGTCACTTGCATGGAATGTGCAACACCTGTCCATCTACACGCATCAGAGAGCAAGACATCTCAAAGGCCGTACACCTCTCCGCTTATTCACGAATGCAGAGTCCCACTCACTCCTCCCTGCGAGTCAGTACAGGAGTTATCTGGCCTGAAAATTCTATGTACTTAAACACTTCTGTGGCAACGTAGACGGGGTTCAATTGTTGCAATACATGACAATCACAGGCACTTGGTTGACTTAAACACCCGAAGTCTTGAACGAAGATGCAAGAAACAATGTCTGGAATGTTCGGAAGGGGGGGGGAACAGATCCCAAAGTATATATGCATATACTTTGTAGTCTTTTCGGAGCACCAGCATACATTATATCTGCATTACATACGTTTTTTGTTTATTAACTTGTTCCATATCTGTTTTTCGACCACCGAGAGTTTCATCGAAGGAAGCAGTAGATGCGGGAAGTCAGAAAACAATTGTCGATGTAGACTCTATGTGAACTGAACGACTACAACAGTTGGGCATCATGGAGCCAAGGGAGGCAGGCAGTAACTCTGAGCTAATGCGCCATTTGTACATGAATCCCGTCCGTCGACGACGGTATGACACTCATTCTGTTCATGGGAATTATGACCTTCATCGACGGTATGATACTCCTGTTCAGTCATGGGAATTAAAAAGTACTCAACGAAAATCAGTATAGTCCCAGCAGGGATTCGAACCCTGTGCTTTTGACAATATTTACATTCCGCACAGAGTTTATGATATTTATCAAATGCTCTACCACTGAGCCACTGGGACTTCATTAGCACAAAGTACACTCAAGGCAAGTATTGATAAACACCTTCATAAACATCCTTGTTTGCTCATGGGAATTGCCACCAATGGGCACCTTCGTGGAAGGTATGTTTCTCACCTTGTTCACTGATGGGAATTACTCTATTTGAGCTGCAATGCGTGCCCACGGGAACTGCCACCAATAGGCACCTTCATGGAAGGTATGATTCTCACCTCGTTCACTGATGGGAATTTCTTTATCTGAGTTGCAATGGGCGCCTAATTTCCAAAAGAAGTAAATAGGCGCTCAATTCACGGACCAAGTATCCACTGGAATTATTGTAGTTAGTAGTCCACAGCTGCTCTCCAGTTCTCTCTAGCTACACCCCAGCTCTCCCTAGCTGTACCCTAGCTGTCCCCCAGTTCTCCCTAGCTATACCCTAGTTGTCCCCCAGTTCTCCCTAGCTGTACCCTAGCTGTACCCTAGCTGTCCCCTATAATTTGCCCCCTAGTTTGTCCCCTAGAAGTCTCTAATAACCCAGCCGCTACTTTTACCGGATCCATTCTCACCTCCCCTTCTGAGATGATGAGTCCGAGGTATTCAATCTGTTGCTGTTCAAATTCGCATTTTTCGGGTCGTAGGTAGAGGTCGTGCTTTTCTAACCGAGTTAATACTTCCCGTACCATTCGTCGGTGTTCCTCGAGATCGTTACTGAAGATAAGGATGTCATCTAGGTAGACTGCCACCTTGCCGGCTGCAATGAGATCAGCAAATATAGCATTCATAAGTGCTTGGAACGTGGCAGGGGAATTTGTGAGACCAAAGAACATGACCTTAGGCTCGAACAAGCCTCGGGTTGTTGCGAACGCGCCTTTCCATTCATGCCCCTTCTTAATCCGTATGTTATTATAACCCCAGCGGACATCAAACTTCATGAAGTATCTTGCTCCCTGAAGTCGGCTAATGATGTCAGCAACTAATGGGAGAGGGTATCGATTCTTCACAGTGTACTTGTTCAGTTTCCGGTAATCTTGTACAAAACGGAGTTTCCCATCCTTCTTCTTTACGAAGAAGACCGGTGATGAGATTGGTGATTTTGAGGGGATGATATAGCCTTTTCGTAGGTTTTCTTCTAGGAAACGATCCAACTCCTCCTGCTCGTTTAGGGACATGGGATAAATCTTGGTACGCATGGTTGCCGGTGCTCCAGGTACGAGATCAATTGCATGGTCCCAAGGTTGGTGGGCAGGTAATCGTTCAGAGGTGGATTCTGAGAAAACCTTCTTGAAATCACAATACTGCTCAGGGACCATTTCTTCGAAGATTTTAACGGGTTTGTCTCGGTTGGCTTCCTCTGCTAGCTGCGGGGAGTAAGTGAATCCCGCGGCGCACCAGACTTCCTCCGTCTGTTCCTCTAGAATTCCTGCTTTTACCCATGCGCGGCGAGTTTTATGATTGGCTCGAATTCGGTGTATTGGTAGTCCTTCAACTGCTATTGATTCGCTCTGTTCAAGGGTCGCTTCTGGTGGCACCTCAATGTGGGGGTTTTCTGCGGGAGATTCCGGTTCCGGGAGTTCGAGGATCGGGCTTTCTGTGTGAGTGGCGGCTAGATGAGAGTGCAAGATCTCCTCGTCTGGGACTTCTTCTATCGTTACTCGAGGAGGCTTTACTGAGAGTCGTCCTTTCTCCCAATCAATCTCCGGATTTACCTTCCGTAGCCAGGGGAGTCCAAGGATGATGTCTTCACCCCTAGGTTGGTGATCAAAAAGTCCATCCATCGCTCTTGATTATCCACTGTGAGTGCTAGACGTGCAAAATGGGTTATCCGTCCAGCTCGGTTAGGTGTTCCATCGATATTAAAAACGTCGATTGGTTTATGGAGGGGTGCACATCTTACGTGGTTCCGGGTGGCAAAGTCTTGGTTTAAAAACAGGGCGGTAGCTCCACAGTCTACCATGGCTGCAGTTGTTATACTGTGATTCCTTCCTCTTAGTCTCGCATGAATTCGGAAATGTGGGGACGTGGAGTTTAATTCCCGGATCGATGATATTGTACATGATGGGTGCGAGTCATACGAAGAAGTAGCGAACATAACAAACTGATTACGGGGTACTCTCGGTGCAGCCGAAGCGGGTACCCTCTTTAAAAACCCTGTTGAAAGCCAGAAGACGAGGAGGACATAGCATTAGCACGATCAAGTAATTCCCTTATTTGACCAATCTGATTGAAAAAGTCCTGGTTAGGAGGGCTCGGAGTAGCAGCTACAGGTGCAGGAGCAGATGTTGGGGTCGAGGACGCGATTTGGACGGATTCGTTTGGGAATAGGGAGAATGGTGCGGGTCCGTAGCGGATATCTGTTGGCGTCGAGGTTGCTGGCGTCGGCCTCGGTCTCGTCCGAGTCCCATGAATTTGTCTTGGCAGACTGCTTCCAGATGTCCTCGGCGTCCACAGTAGCGGCAGGTGGTTTCTCGGTGTGGGCAATTTTGCTTGACATGACCTTGGGCACCGCAGCCGAAGCATCGTCCTCGCATGCGAGCTAGGAATGCCTCCCTAGTATTCCCATTACTGGTGTGGGTTGCATCAATGTCCATAGCGTGGGGGTCAGCAGGGGTAGTATGAGCGGTATGCGTGGGAGGGTATCCAGAGTTCCGGCCAGTCATGGTGGGATCGTGCAGGTAGACATCCACCGATATGGCCCGTTTGATTGCCTCCTTCAGAGTCGGAGCAATTCCTTGGGCAATGTTTACGGTGATGAGGTGTTGCCGGATCTCTGGGAGTAATGCAGTGAAGAAACGTTCCCGCAAGTCAATATCAGACATTTCAGTCCGATCTCCGATATCCTTGAACTTCTGAGCGAATTCCGCAACTGTCTGTCCTTTACTTTGCCTGAGATTCTTGATCTCGCTACGGGCTTCCATACCTGGGTCCATTGGTTCAAACCGTTGGCTAAATTCCTTCAGAAACGCCTCCCAATTTCCTCCAAAAGGGGGATTTTCCGCATTGAAATGTAGCAGATGGGGAGTTGCCCAATCTCCGGCACTTTCTGTGAAGAAGCCCAAGGCGGACTTGATGAGTTTTACTTGGCTTTTGGTGAGATCCGGTTGTTCTGACGCCCAATTCTGGAACTGAGCCATGAAGCGACGGGCTTCAGCGCCATCTTTACCCTTGAAAACCTCGGGTTTGTTCATGCTTGACTTAGAGGATGAGCATTCCTCCATAGCTGTAGCAAGGTTAGCTACTTGTCTGATGAGCTGAGCCATGAGATCCTCCGCAGAGGTGTTTGGGGCAGGCGGGATAGGAGTCGACATGATGGGAGTAGGCAATCGGGGCTGGGGAATCGGCAGGAAGGTTATATTGCTCACAGTGAGTGGCTCCCGGATTGAGTTCGAAAGGGCGTTGGGGCAAGGTTGAGACTGGCAATCGCGCCAAGTATCGTCATTGTTATGGGCGTGAGCTTGGTCTCTGGGGTCAAGTGCGTGCGGGAGTGCGGAGCAGTCTATACTGGCAACAGGTGTTTCAGAGTCGGGCGGAACTGGGGAAGACGTGGTGTCTATAGACCCTGCAAGGACAACCTTATTGGTAGGCTGTCAGTGCAGTAATGGATCTTGACCTAATGTCACGAAGCGGCAGAGGCGGAGTGACTGACGGAGCGGGAAAGCGGAGCGACTAAGCAGAACGGCAAGGCGGAGCAACTGAACAGGGCAACAAGGCGGAGCGACTAAGCAGAACGGCGGCAGGCTGGTCCCAGATAATGACAGAGATATATTGAGTATCGTAGTCATAGGTAATAATAAGTAAGCACATACCTGGTCCCAGATAATGACAGAGAGGTCAAGATAAGGGACCAGGCTGTGGAGGGTTGGCGATATATACATAATCCGGTCTGCGAGAAACAACGATGTAATACTGT